TATGAGGAGGAGTTCCTCTGGAGGTTGCAGAACAACTTGGCCCGAGGAGATGGTCCTATCCCGGAAGAAATCCTACTGGATTGGAGAGAGGCCACTAGGAAGGAGCTATGGTACGAGGCCCTGGAGGAGGTTCAGCTTCAACGGAGAGAGAGACACCCCAGCGAAAAGCAGCAGTTACAGGTACAAGTGGCCCTGCGGCTGGCTCTCCTGGGAGATCAGCCCATGGAGGAGTGGGTGACGGAGCTTGAGGACCTGGTCTGGAAGGAGCTGTGGCTGGACTAGGCTTACCAGGCACTAGAGTGGTACGCAGCCCGGCATGACCACTGGATGGCTGAGGACAGCGTGCCAGAGGGTGAGAACTATAATGGCCCAGGGTTGTTGTGAGAGGCCTTTGAGAAAGACATTAACTTTGGCAGCTCAGCAGAGTTTCGGCTCTGGGAAATCCGCAGTACCAGGGAAGCCCTGATGGAACTTCCTAGAGCTGACAACCTAGGGCCAGACCTGATCCATGTGGCCAGCATGGAATAGGAGCTGGAGCAGGATTACCAATCAGCTCGGTTCGGCCACAGTAGGGAGACAGGACACCTGGAGTGGAGGGTGCAGATGGGACCGTGGTCTCTGTACTGGGAGAGCAGGGAAGCTGGGCGGCTGACCCAGACCTGCCACATTCCGGGTGGGAAGAATTAGCTGCTGTAACTCCTACTTCACAACCAGTTCAAGAAATAGTAGACCTTATAGACTGGTCCTGGGAAGACATACAGTTGGCCGGTGCAGATGGGACCGAAGTCTCTGCACCAGCCCTACAGGGATGCTGGGCAGCCTGTCCAGATCCCCAACAGCAGCTAACCTCACTGGAAGGGGGGACAACTGGTCCCTCTTCCCAACCACAGCTGGAAGTACTGGGAGTGGGAACATTCGGTCCTACTCCCCAGCGGCAGCACACCTTACAGGGAGAGGGGACAACTGGTCTCTCTCCCCAGCGTCAGCCGGAGATACCGGGAGAGGTGACAGCAGGTCCCTTTCCCCAACTACAGTGGGAGCTCATGGGAGTGGGGACAACCGGTCCCACTCCCCAGCAGTGGTGCCTGTTATTAAAAGACAGGACACCTAGAGCGGATGGTGCAGATGGGACAGAGGTCTCTGCACCAGACCTACAGGGATGCTGGGCAGCCCAGGAGGAGGATACAGGCGGTCCTTCCCCACAACGACATGGTGAGAGCCTGGGAGAAGAGAGGGTCGTCCTTCCCCAGCCACAGCGGGAATACCAGGGGGAGGAGGTGGTCGATGCCTCTTCCCATCAGTGGATGCTGACTAGCCAGGGCTATGTTTGAATTGTGCTGGCTCTGCCCCTGATCTGCCTCTTTGTCAGTCTCAGCCAGTCCTACGGGGAAGCATTGTGATGGGATTAGGCTACCACTTCTGCTGATGTCAGCAGGCAGTGGGCAGGTCTAAAGGAAACAGTGACAAAGCCAGCAGCTCCAGACTTGAATACAAGTACGATTTTACAATATTTAGGGAGGCATGAGGGGACCACGGTAGCTAGATGATGGTTTTAACCCTATAGGGTCGGGAATACATGCTTGTGTTCCTGACCCTACAGTGCTCCTTTAACTTCTCTGGCTAGCAATGAATGTAGTTGTGGCAGCTGACATTTAATGTGGATAAGTGTAAGATAATGCATCTTGGACGTAAAAACCCAAGGGCAGAGTACAGACTATTTGATAGAGTCCTAACCTCAACATCTGAGGAAAGAGATTTAGGGTAAATTATTTCAGATGTTAGAGCCTTACTGGGGACACCCGGACACAGCTTTGTATACCCAACTCACTACTTTGACCACCCGGGGACCCAATCTGCGTTAACTGAGGCCTGCAGGACGGCGTGCAGGGGAGCTCTCCTCTCTACCTACCTGCTACAGGACCACATCGACCCTCAAACCTTCTACCCCCCCCTTGGAACCGGAGGGGGATATACTCAGGTCCTCGCCGTGAGCCCAGAGTGACCCATCTAAAGCAAAAACTCACCTGTATACAAGCTCCAGGGCCGGCGACCCACGAGGCACAGACAAAATGGCGGTGGAGTGTCAAATACAGCAGCGGAACCAACCCGCAACCCCAAAGCAACACACTGCCAACCGCGCCGATCTCGAAAAGGCGTCTTGATTACTTATTCCATAAATTTTTTGAGAATCTGCAGAGCCGTGCTCGGAGTGCTACGACATGGCGGCAAAACCGAGTGGAATCGGGTGAGAGGGGCCACGGGCACCAAAAAGAGAGGGAGGCACCCTCGAGCACAGCACCATACCACCCGCTGACACTCACCCACCCTGGCCCACCATAACCACCCGGGGACTCACCTCTGCAATCTTGCCGGGACTCAGGACGCAGCAAGAAGGCAAGCCCCTTGGGGAAACAGGGCCAGTTAACTCCCCGCAACTCCCCGCGACAGACTGCCACTGCAACCCCCACTCGACTCCATAACGAGCACACGATGCAAAAAAGCCACTCACCTGCATGGACTTTTCGTCATCCACAGGCTCGACCTGAGGCTCCAGTAACCAGGTGGGGATGACCCCGGTGACGCAGTCCGTAAAGACGCAACCTTGGTCTGGCCGACAAGAGACCTGCACCGACACAAGCTGGAACAGGGACCGAGTGTCCCAACCGGGAGACCAGGGGACTAAGCACTCATGAGGACACTCAGAGACTTTTGCAACACCCTACCGCATTGTAAAGCTACCATGGGGGACAACCATACACCAGCTGCTGGCGTGGGCTAAGTAATTTTGCAGGACTTAATGTTTACCCCGCTTGCTTAGACCGTGAGATGACCAACTCTTGACACACTTATACATATGACTTAGCGAACACCACACAACTACACGGGTAAACAAGACTTGCCTCCAGATACCCCATCGTCCACTTACATCAAACCGCATTGCCGACTTGCCTAGCAAACAATGTGCCTATGTGTATATCTGACTGTTGATCTGTGACTTCTCATGTGTAATTCTACCTTTTCATTCTAGCATTTAAGATGCTTGCTTGCAACAGTATTTTCATAGACCCACTCACATGTCCCACCGACCCACGTAGACAAAAAAACCTACCGTACGTTAAGTTTCATTATGACATTGACGACCAGTTTGTTACTCAGTTATTTTATTAAAAAAATTGTGCAAGACTATCGTATGCCCTGGAAACTGCATCGTTTGTATATCTAAATTCTTGTTACGCTGTTGGGGCATAGCAAGAGCATATGTTTAATCAATGCATAACAAAGATAAAGACTAAAAAAAATAATTATTTCAGATGACTTAAAGGTAGGTAGACAATGTAATAGAGCAGCAGGAAATGCTAGCAGAATGCTTAGTTGTAAAGGGATAGGTATTAGCAGTAGAAAGAGGGAAGTGCTCATGCAATTGTAGAGAACATTGGTGAGACCTCACTTGGAGTATTTTATGCAGTATCTCCAGAAGGATATTGATACTTTAGAGAGATTTCAAAGAAGGGCTACTAAACTGGTTCATGGATTGCAGGATAAAACTTACAAGGAAAGGTTAAAGGATCTTAACATGTATATCTTGGAGGAAAGATGAGACAGGGGGGATATGATCGAAACATTTAAATACTTAAAGGGAATCAACACAGTAAGGGAGGAGACTCTATGTAAAAGAAGAAAAACTACCACAACATAAGAACAGTTGTAGCGGATGGCATGTGACTGTCCGTCAGAATTATATGTTAAAAGACTGATCGCATGTTTAAACTGCCTGTACATTGTAAATTGCATATACATTCGTATGTTAGTTCGGTAGTTTCCTTCATAGTTTATACGAATTATAACTACCGAATGCATAGACCACCTTAGAGAAGAAGTGTGTCCCTAGTTAAACTCTTATTCCCTTTCTAACCGAAGTTAATTGATGTTGTATTGCTGTATCTGGGTGGCCGCCATTCGGTAGACGAACACGCGGCGGCGGCCATCTTACGCACAAACTCTCAGCGGTGTTTGGTCGTCGAATGTCTGAAACTCAAATCGGACACTCAATTGCGCGAACACCGCTGAGACCTCCAGAGCTCCAGAACTCACGAACGGAGGGGCTATTCGACTCCTCGTTCGGTGAGTTCAATATACCAAACAAGGGGGTTCGTGCGAACCCAGTATTGTCTATGGATGGCAAGGATTTCTACCTGTTTTACCTCCCGAACGCAGACCGACCGCAGGGCCAAAATACATGGAACTCCTTTCGGCTACATAGTCGTGTGCGGTCGGTCAAATCGTTTATTCCCTATAACTCCCAAACCCCTGGTCTGATCTGGGTGAATTTTGAGTATGTTGGTCACCCAGACCAGGGCTACCAGGGGATACCACTTAAGTCCTGGTACCCCACGGTTTCGGGGTACATCCAAGAAACAGGGGAAAAGGTACCAGGATTAAGTGGATTAAGTGTCACACTGAGGGAGGGAAAGTAGGGGAGGGAACCTCTGTATTATTGGTTACTGCTGTAATTACTGTAAATCCCTCCCATGCATGGGAGAATCCTTTATAAGAGACCGCTGTGAATAAATCTATAGTTCTGCTCCTGATGCTGTGTGTCGTCCAGTCATTGGGA